AGTCCTCATTAAGCTTTTTTTTTTTTTAAGAATTATCTATATGTGGTCAAATTGACAACAGCAACTTGAAAAGATAGATGAAAAGCTTAGGGGGAAGTGAGTTTCTGTTAAAGATGGTGAAATAGTCTGGAAAATGTTGTCAAGAAAAGTGGCACAACTTCAAGAATGTAACCAATGTCACTGAATTATACACATAGAGATTGTTGAAATGAGGTATGTTTTGTTGTGTATTTTTTCACCAAAAAAAAAAAAAAAAGGTCGAGAAGGGAGAGGGTTGACATGTTGTGGGGTTGTTAACCAATGTCATAAAAAAAAAAAAAAAAAAGTCTTCTAGTGCCTTAAATTTGAGTTGCACATTTACCCAGAGAAGTGAGAGACTTGGGTGTAAGAGATGCACCTTGCTGCAGCTGCTATCTTGAGGGTCTAGGAAACAGGTCTTCAGCAGTTGGGCCTGTAGGGCCCTCTAGTCATTTAAAAGGTTGGATTTGCCAAGAGCGGGTTAGGTCACTCCATGAAGCTTTGATATCTATGTCCCAATTTGAAAATCATCACTGAGCTCATTGGCAGGAGGGCATAGAAGCTTCTGGATAGCATCTGTGTTGAACACAAAAATTTAGGAAGTCATGGAATGCATGCCAAAAAGAGTGTTATGGATTGAGTGTCCCCAAAACATGTATTAAAATCCTGGCTCCTATACCTATAAATATGGTCCCTGGATGGCACTAACAGTTTGCACTCGACTGCTAACCTAAAGGTTGGAGGTTTGAACCTACCCAGCAGTACCATAGAAGAAAGGCCTGGCGACCTGCTTCTGTTAAGATCACAGCCAAGAAAACCCTATGGAGCAGTTCTACTCCATAACACACAGGGTCAACATGACTCAGAACTGACTAACAACAGCAAACCGGAAACCGGGTTTTCTTTGTTATGTTAATTAGGTCATAACCAGGTAGGGTGGGTTCCAAACCTAATCACTTCTGAGTTACAAAAAGAGCAGAATGGACACAGAGACACACAGGGAGAAGAGAAAGGCAGATGACAGACAGAAGCCAGACAGAGAGCCACTAGAAGCTGAAATGGACAAGAAAGGACCTCCCCTAGAGCCGTGCCCTGAATCCGTACTTCTAGTCTCCAGAACCGTGAGAAATAATTTCTGTCTTTAAAGCCCTCCACTTGTGAATTTGTGTTACGGCAGCACTAGGTAACTAAGGTAAACAGATCCTCCAGCAGCTTTGTCCTCCCGGGATTGTAGGCTGTGCCCAATTTTTTGCTCCATCTCTGCTTGAACTTTGTAGGCCGCAGATCCTGCCTTATCACAGACTTGTGGAGTTCAGAGCCTGCCTGCAGGAGTCATGGAATGGGAAAGCCTAACAGAGAGTGTTTTAGTTGGACTGGACTGCACACACAAGCCTATACATTAATTATAGAGTTATGCAACTATGCATCCTTCAACCTTTGCTGGTATTTTTACAGGGCCATTAAAAATGACACCTGAGCATATCCCCACCCCCACCCCAATACTGGCAGGTAGGAGCTGTCGCCAATCTGAGTGAGAATCAAAACTGCCACCCAATTACCTGGCAAAGCCACAGCCTTCTGCAGCCAGTTGGGTGCAGTTCCCAAGGCCAGCACCCCAGGGGCTGAGTCACTTGCAGGAATTAGGACAGAGGTGTGGTCACTGCACATGGTAGTCTAGGAAGCCCTGAAAAGATCCTAAACAGATCCACTTCAAATAGGATCAAGTCTTCCTCTAGGTGGCTCATTGGCGACATGCGTGCCTTTTCGCTGTGGGTTCCCAGTGGGTTCCCAAGGAAGTAACAAGGCAGCTGGCCCGTCTTTACTGCTGTCACGACGTGGAGGATGCCCGGAAAAGCCCAAGTGTTGCCTCACCGAACTGTGAAGTTATGTGGCTACTGTCATGGCAGATACCAGAGGAAGGCAGTACAGGGCCCCCTGGTGTCACATCTGAAGCCCAGCCCTGGCTACCAGAGTGCATGGTTCAGCCTCAGCCAGCCCCAGCCCTCCTGTTTCCTTAAAACCTGGACCTGCCCTATGAGAGTCCACTGGGAAAGAGATATATTCAACTAAAGCTAGGCCTGTCTGTGGTGGCCTATGTGTTTCAGTGATGCTGGAAGCTATGTCACCAGTGTTTCCAATACCATTACTCATGGTGGGCAGGCTTCAGGAGAGCTTCCCAGCTAAGACAAGCTAGAAAGAAAGGCCTGGCGATCTACATCTGAAAATTAACCAGTGAAAACCCTGTGGATCACAACAAAATCGTGTCCAATATAGTGCTGGAAGATGAGCCCCCTAGATTGGAATGCACTCAAAATACCCAATAGTCACAACAATGGACTCAAACATAACAATGGTCATGAAGATGGAGCAGGACTGGGCAACGTTTCCTTCTGTTGTACGTGGGGTCATCATGAGTTGGAGCTGACTAATAACAACAGACTTAATTGGCATAGACAACTGACAACAACAACGTAGCTGGGCCCACAGAGAGAAACCAAGAATCTGGGCAGTGAGCTAACACATTCAAACCCTTCCCTCAAGTATCCGGACACCTAAGGCTCAAAGCATTTGGGGAGTTTCTAAAACAAAATATCCAAAGGATTAACCTGCAGCACCACTCAAATGTCTAAGTCATTATTAAGGCTGACTGGACGTGGAAGGAGCAGCTGTACTTGACAGCGCTCAGAGCTTAGGGCCCTTTCAAAGACTATCAGGAGTCCCTGGGTGGTACTCAGCTGCTAACCAAAAGGCTGGAGGTTTGAGCCCACCCAGAGGCACCTCAGAAGAAAGGCCTGACAATCTACTGAAAAATCAGCCATTGAAAACCTGGTGGAGCACAGCTGTACTCTGATACACAACGGGTCACCAGGAGTCAGAATCAACTAAGCAGCAAGTGGTTACTGGAAAGAATATCAAGTGTAGAAGTGAGAAAGGAACCTGGTTTGGGATTACCCCCGACCTGCCTTTATTAGGGAGTGTAACAGCACAGGGACACGTCAGTTATGTTAACAAGGAATTTGTGTTGAGAGGTGATAGGAAACACATGTTGCATCTGCATATTAATAAACTTCACAAAAGAAATGCACACATTATTATTATTTTAAATGTTAATAAAGAATCACCATTTGCTAGCTTCTCACAAGCCTGGGAGAAAGCAGTCTCTTGCATTTCAGTTCCTGCTTTACTCGAACAGGAGTAAGTGAAAATTGTGTCTATTCCTTTTAAAATGCATGTGCCTTGGACCCTTGAATGCAGTATCACTGTGTGTCCCTGTGTGTGCAAAATTAAGTGGATGAGTAAAAACCTGAGGGATTATGCTGAAAGCTCAGACTTTCCAAAATGACTTTGCTGGTGGTTAAAGACAAACGTGCCTTAGATCCAGTCATCGCACGGTGTCTCTTGGTGTGAGCACTGCAACTTCGCGAGTGGAGAGTGTCATAGAGGACACGCGTGGAGCTCCACGTGTGGAGCAGAGCAAAACAGGTAAAGTAATTAATTAGAAAAGGAAAGACCTTCTTCTTGGAAATTCAAAAAGAACAACGTTGCCTTTTTCAGGCAGGAAAGAGAAGTAAGTATATGTGATCAAAATGGTTTGCCCACATGCAGAATGATCCTATGTTTACCATGGCGTATGATCCTAAGGTGAGGAGCTGTGTCATAGCCATCAGCTGGCCCCAAGAGGGGCCCTGGTGGTGCAGTGGTTAAGAGCCTCGGTGAGCTACGGCTGCTAACCAAAAAGGTCGGCAGTTGGAATCCACCAGTCGCTCCTTGGACCCCATGGGGCAGTTCTACTGTGTCCTATCGGGTCGCTACGAGTCAGAACCAACTCATCGGCACCCAACAAACAATGGCAGCAGCCTCGAGAGAAGGTGCTTTCCCTCTAGAAGCATCTCATTCCGGGTTCTGTTGATACTGTGAGGAGATGTGCTCCAAGTGTAGTTAGAATGGTGCTGGGCTGAGACTTACCTACCATGTGAATCCGCCTACTGATTCGAATGGAACTAGGGAAAGGAAATGCGGGTAACTTCCACGTTGTTGTTGTCAGCCGCTCTCGAGTTGGCCCCGACTCATGGCAACCTTGTGTGTCACAGAAGGAAAGGCTGCTCGGTCCGGCGCCGTCTCATCATTGTTGTGACTCTTGTCTCAATCCGTCTTATGGTCTCCTTCATTTTCGATGGCCCTCTACTTTACCAGACATAACGTCCTTTTCCAGGGGTTTTTCGTAGGCGAAAGCAAAAAATAAATATCTGTAGTTATGGAGTAGCCACTGCTTGGCCCCAAAACACTGAATCTCTCTTTTCTTTATTTTCCTTTAGCTTCTTAATTGCAGTGTGTGTGTGTGTGTGTGTGTGTGTGTGTGTGTGTGCATGCGTGTGAAGAGGGTAGTATAATTTTATACCCTTACTAAAAAGATGTCCATTTAGGGAGAAATAAACCACATCATTTTGATTTCACTAAAATGGCTTATTTACCACAAAAATAAAATGTTTTCCTTTTTTCAGATTTCAAAATACCAGTAAGTTTCTAGAGCCTTTGAGGAATCAGATTCTCAACAAAATGTGTCTTTTTATTGTTTTTTTTTTCCTTTTATAGTTTCACGTATGCTGTTTTACTCTTTACCAAGAAGTGAACCCTCCCTGAGCTGATGTCTAGCATTTTAAAGGATGGGATACACATCCTGTTTGAACAGCAGCCTGATGCCAGGGTAGAATTACTATCGAATAAGCAGCAGTGAAGCCTTTATGAAAATAATCAGTAGTTCCCCAAACCACAAATAATAACAGCAGGAGCCGAGTTATACTAAATCAGCAAAGACCACTAATAGAACAAGCGACTGAGTCACTTTTTTTTCCTGCATTCCCTCTCTCGCAAAGTCAACTCCGCTCTTTCCTTGCAGTCTGGGGGAGGGCAGGTGGAGGGAAGGAAGGGCATTGCTCAGAATGTAAAAAAAAGACGACTTGACATCACTTCAGTCACATGACCAGCCAGAGCCAATGGCGATGGGCTGTGGAAAGGGGAACAGTTAAATTTGTACTTTGGGTTGTGTGAAAACTTCTTTGGGGCCTCATCAACAACCACAGAACCACAAGTTGGGTAGCCTGGCAGTGACAGAAGTCTGCACACAGTGGTCAGCAGGCAGGACGAATCACACAGACTGCAAACCACAGGGTTTCACAGGGTGGTGAGCGCCATCAACCCACAGCCAAGTCATCGCTTTTTTTTTTTTTTTTAATCTTTAACAATTTGAATATTTCTTTTTGCAAAGGTACATTTTTCATAGGGCTCGGGGAGTGCCAAGGGTGTTGAGGGAAAAAAAGAGATGTGGGCGCCATGGTGCAGGGGTGAGGCTAGAACCGTGACGGCTCTTGGTTTTTGCTCCTAAGGTAAAAGAAATCACTTAGTCCCCTGTCTTCAGAAGAGTGCATTTCAGGAGGAAGCCATGGCTTCAGACAGCATATTTGAGTCATTTCCTTCGTACCCACAGTGCTTCATGAGAGGTGAGTACACTGGTCTTTGAGTATCTACTTTTGCCCAGCTTTGCATATAATGAAATGGCAGGGTGGGGATAGTGCCTGCAGATCCCCCGTCGGTTTTGCGGGAGGAATTCACACAGAGGAGGATGATTACAAGGCTATTGGATTACTTATTCATCAGATGGCAGTGCTTCAAAAATGTTTTAATACATACTTAGTTAAGCTGTTGAAGCGTCCATGGGTACGTGAGATTGTTGTCAAGTGCTAGTAAGCTGGGCTGCTCTTGTTAAAGTCCTGGAGATTACAGAGTTTGCGTGATGCCCTCTGGGTTATATTCGTCTGTTCCTTGCCCGGTATGACTGTCTGAGTTGTCCTTCACTCAGCACGCTGTGTGGCCCACGCTGCAGCCTGCCCAGGGTTATAGCAGCCACATGCACGCAGCCAGCAAGGAGGACAGGGGCCATGGGGCAGGAGGCGGGGACGCGCTCAGAAGCATGTTGTTAGACCAGCCAGGAGACTTGCAGGGGCCAAGCGGCAACTCGGCTGTCTCCAAAAGGCAGAGATTACAGGAGCTGGGCAGATTATTTAGGCTAAGATCATTGGGACAGGACAGTGCTGTTCTGTTCATCGTAACCACAATGCAGAAAGACTGAGGCATCTTCCAAGAGAAAAAGCAAGCAAGCTGTCGCGTACACACAGGAGTCTCTCGCAAAGAGTAATGAAGAAGTTTCCCAGGTGGCGCTTTCTCCCAGCTCTCGGCTTCAGACGTTAGATTGCCCGCTTGCTGATAGGAACAGCCAGTGTGGAAAGCCTGTCTGCGTTTTCGCAATCGCCTCGTGAAATGTGCAAAGCTGGAGCTGAGCTGTGTGTGTGTGAGTATGTGTGTGCGCGTGTGTGTTGTGTGTAGCTGTGATGGGAGAAGAGGGCTGGGCTTAAGCAAACACAAAAATAACATAAAGTATCGCGAAGGCGTTGCGAGTGTGCTGGGGCAGGCACTTTGACCGTCGCCCTTAGAGCGTGGCTGGCTGGTTTGGCAGCGCCGAGACGGAATGGAGAGGGTGGGGGAGCATGAATTTTCTGGCTGCAAACTCGCGCGCACACCCCAATAGTATCTGTGACTCATTATTTATTCATACAACCCGGAGAGCGGGGAATGCAGAGGGCCTGTCAGCCCCTTTGTCACAACACAGCGGTTGTGAATGCCACAGAGCATCCATGCTTCCGGGCCCCTGAAATTCGAAAATACGACAAAGATGTGTGTGTGTTGGGAGTGGGACGGGGAGGATTCAGGGAGACGGGGGGAAAAAAGCAAGTCATTAAGCGATTCCAAGCTTCAAATTAAAGGGTTTCCGAGAGCTGTTTTACTGGCAGCTGAGGACATTTTAGTGAAGTTGAATCATGTGGACGGGGATGAGTCACTGTGGCTGCCCCGCTGTCGGCCACTCAGCAGAGACGAGGGCCCCGGGGAAAGGCTGCAAACTGCCCCCGGCGGCGTTTCCTCCAGGCTGCTAACCAGCTAAGGAAGCAATATGCGTACAATAACAGAAAAAGGTCTTCCTGCCTTGCCTTGGCCTTCAGGCTCCCTCCGAAGGTTGATTGTTTCCTATATTATCAGCTCAGGAAGGCAGAGTCAGGAAATTTTGAAACATTCCACTGGGCAATAGATGGGATTTCGGTATGCAGTGCTGGCCTTGGAAGCTGGCCTTACGGGAAGGAGAGTGAAGGGATACCAGGAAATACAAGGACCCCAACACAGCCCCATGGTTCCAGCCCCCTGGACGGTCAATGCTCCTGGGAGTGATCTGAGAGGGCCCAGAACTTGCATTAAGACCCAGAAGGTCTCACCTAGAAAGGTCTTTTCACTCCTTCAGTAAATGGAACTCAGAGCCTTTCAAAATCTCTAACTCAATAATATAATATTGAGACTTCATCCCAGAGGACCAAAGTGAAATGCTGGCAGTCTCCCGGGTAACTTTATCAAAGTGACGCATCGACATAGGGTTTAAATTGTCTGCGTGGCTGTCCACACCACTCACATGAGCGGGAGAGGCGACCAATTGTCATCTCTTTTGGTACTGTCTGGACATAGCCTGATGCTAGAAGGGCCCACCACCATCCTGTCCAACAAACCGTTCTCCTCCAGAGTTCTTTCCGTTTACATAGCCTGGCCACGCACAGTGCTCCCAGGGTTCCTTTCTCACTCAGGAGTTTCTAGTGGGGGCTGTGCTAGTTCAGCGGCAGAATCCCAGCCCTCTACGTGGGAGACCCGGGTTTGATTCCCAGGTGGGGCACCTCAGGTATAGCTACCACTGCCTATCAGTGGAGGCTCACGTGTTGCTATGATGCTGAGCAGGTTTCAGTAGAGCTTCCAGACTAAGATGGACTAGGAAGAACGGTCTGGTGGCTTACTTGTGAAAATCAGCCAGTGAAAACCCCATGGATCACAACAGCCCAGTCCACACCTGATTGTGGAGGTGGTGCAGGACCAGGCAGCATTTCGCTCTGTTGTGCTTGGGCTTGACCCTGCAGCAGCTAGCAACAACAGGAGCATAATTTACAGCGTGGTTGCCTCCCTCCCCAACTGCAGCTCTGAGCTGCAAGGGGAAATAACAGTCGCGTTCTTCCTGGGATGTTACTTTATCATTCCATGCAGTTCTCAGAGGAGGAAATCTATCACTCATGTTTAGCAAGATACCCATGTGGAAATTGGGGGACAAAAGGGGTGGGACCTAGAAACCATTGTTGCCTTCCCTGAGGGATGAGGAGGACTCGCGAAGACTGGCATGTGAAATGTGTGTGGTCTACCACAGCGCGCGGCTTCTATCACTGCACACCAGGGTCGCACTTTAAGTGCTTAGGCGAGAAGATAAGACAGTGCTAAAATTCCCTGGAATTATCACACACCTTTAGGGTCTGCCCTCCTCACACGGGGCTATGTTGCGGAGAGAAGAGCAGGGTGGCTGTGAAGAGGGAGAGCCAGAGCACATGCTCATTTTTGCAAAATGCCTCAGGTAGCCTTGTTCTTAGAAGTGGCTTCGTGGTCTGTGCAAAGCCTGATGCTGATATGCCTCTGAGTTCCTAGAACCACAGGTAAAAATCTCAGCACGGCAAACTTGCTGCTGTTCCTCTCGGCAGCTGGAGTTTAGCCCATTAGAGGAATCTTTCCGAGGGGATTGCAGAATAAAGGGCAGAAGGTATGAAGGGGGCTTTTCTGTAAGTATCAGCATGCCATGATGCTCAGATTTCTCAAGACACTTTTCGTTTGGTGGAAGATTCACGTCACGGAAAGCCGCAGGCGCGAGGGTGGTGTTCACTGGGCATCAGACACAGCATGTCTCTCTGCAAAGCTGACCCACAAGACAACTGTGGGACGAGGCATCCCGGGCACCCTCCTAGATGCTGAAGAATTAGACCCCAGTTCCTCCTGTTTGAGGTGGAGCTTTGCATTCTGAAACTGCCCACACATTTTGAAACTGAGAAGAAAAAAAAAGTGTTAAAAATACCTAAATTTGTGATCATATCCCTTGCCATCTAGGCCCTTGGCACACTAAGACACATTTCAAAACGACCCAGCAATTTTGAGATGTTTAAAAAATATATATTTTAAGAGGTTTTAAAAGAGCAAAAGGCAGTCCCCAAAAGAAACTGTGTCCTTGGTTCTGCTCCTTCCAGCGAGAATGTCCCTGTATTTTAAATCCCCCCCCAAGGCAGTTCTGACCCGCAGGGTGCGGGTGAGGAGAGGCCGCAAAAGGCCTCACACACCTGCTCTCACATCGAGCTCAGTAGCAACAAGCAACAGTAGCAGAAGCGTCTTCAGAAATAGCAGCTGACCCGAGGTTCACGCAGCCAGAAGCCGTTTAGAACTTTTGGAAGCCGATTCGTTACCAGCAGTTTCCTATGTTCTCTGGAAATAGATCTGAAGCGCATGCTCAGAGGAGATCAGACCCTTTCTGGAGAAAGCAGGGCTGGGCCTCATGCTCACACAGAGGCAGGGCTCCAAGGCCACCGAACACACACAGACTTCAATAGAAAGTTGGGGCTCGGTGGGCGTGGGCTGCGGAGTGGGCCGGGGAGCCGGCAGGGGCAGTCATGAGGAGAAGGCAGCCACAGGAAGTCTCAACGTGGGGTGCACACAGGCGGCAAGTGCTGGTCTTCTCTCTCTTTTCCTTTCTTCTGGCTCTAGTCCAATTGCATAGCAGTCCTTCGGTGGCGCAAACGATGAAGCGCTCAGCTACTGGCTGAAAGGTTGGCAGTTCAAACTCACCCAGAGGCCCCTCAGAAGACAGGCCTGGTGATGTGCTTCCAAAAGGTCACAGCCTTGAAAACCCCACAGAGCAGTTCTACTCTGCACACATGGGGTCGCCATGAGTCAGAATTGCCTGAACAGCGACTAATGAGAGCAGCCAGATCGCATAGAGCAGCTTCCCTCTTGAGCCGCAGTCTCCCCATCTGTAAGAAGAGGTTAGCAGTAATACCTATCTTTCAGGTAGATACATGGACTAGATTAACTTTGCAAAGTACTCAGCACAGTCATTGTTGTTAGCTGCCATGGGGTCGGCTCTGACTCATCGCGGCTTTCTGTACAACAAAACAAAACGTCATCCCGTTTTATGTTACCCTCACAATCGCCAGCGTGTCCAAGTTCATCATTGCAGCTAATGTGTCAAACCATCTCAGCAATGGTCTCCCCTGCCCTCACTGGCCCTCTGCTTCACCAAACGTGATGTCCTCCTCCAGCTGTTGATCCCTCCTGATGACATGTCCAAAGCAAGCAAGTCAGATAATGCTCTGTCCTGATCTGTAAGATTTTCCTTGGCTAATTTTTGGAAGATCGCCAGGCCTTTCTTCCTAGTCTTCGTCTGGAAGTTCCGCTGAAACCTGTCCACCATGGGTGACCCTGCTCATATTTGAAATACTGGTGTCATAGCTTCCAGCATCGCAGCAACATGCAGCCCCCACAGCATGACAAACTGACGGATGAGCGGTGGGCTCAGCACAGTACCCAGCCATAAAAGTGAGCAGTA